CCAAAGAGGTCCATAACACATAAGTCTAGAAAAGGAGGATGGCGCTAAATTGTGGAGGGCCTTTAATATCAGACTAAGGAGTTTAAGTTAGCCTATGGGCCAGGGATTCTTAACCTTTCATGGACTCTTCTGGAAGTTTAGTGAAGCCTATGGATCTCTTCTCAGAATAATATTTTTAAATGCATTAAATAATATACATTAGATTTCAAAGGAAGCCAAAGGTTAGAGAAAATAAAGATGTATTTTTTTTTCATTCAAGTTCATGACCCCCTGAAATCTGTCTATGATATTTGTTGACCCCATATTAAGAATCCTTGCTAAAGCAATAGGGAGCTCCTGGGAACTTTGGAGATAGGTGTATATATATATATATGTAAATATATGTATATATATAAACATATATATAAATATATGTAAATATAAATATATATATACATACATACATACACATACAAAGAAGTGTTTTAGGAAGATTAACCTGGCAGTATATGAGGCAGTGTGGCATAATGAATGGAGAACTGGCCTCTGAGTCAGGAAGACCTGGATTTAAGTCTCACCTTTGACTCAAACTGGCTGAGTGATACTGAACAAGTCACTTAACCTCTCCAAGTTAACTCTTTAGAAAGTTGACTCTCCAAGACTTTAAACTACATAGCACATGGGGAACTACATTGGTAGAGAAAATTTCCTTATTAGGATGCACTTATCCCATAACCTACCAAAAAACATTTTTGGTAGCATGGTAAGAATAGGCTGGACTAAGTAGTAACTAGCTATGGGGAAAATAAACTATTGTACCCATCCAGACGAGAGATGATGCAATTTGTCTACACTTGTGTCTGTGTGCACTGGTCTAATGTGTCTACAACTATACTAACAGATAATTGCTAAATTACCATCCATCTCTACTTTTAAATTAAGTTCTCAAATGCAACTTGAACCACATCAAAGTCTGAGAACTCTCTTCCTTCTAAAGCATGTGTTTTTAAAGTTAGTGTTTGAGTTTGTGCTGTTTATGTATGTTTTTGTATGGTTTTGTGCATTGTAAAAGTTTGTCATTAAAGGGAACTCCAAGACAGATGTGAACTAACCGTTACTTTAAAACAAGAAACTTTTCATTTTTTCCTGCAAACTCATAACATTCTAGAGGCTATGGGTCTGATGTTTATTCTTCTAGCCTTCTTCTGACTCATTCAGGTAGAGGGTGTGTACACCAATAGAAACTAGACAGCAGAGGAAGATACGTTTCTTCACATCTACTGAAGAGCCGGTACATAGAATCACAGAATCTTAAGGGAAGTAAATATGGCTAGTGCCTGGGTGGAAATGGGCTGTTTGTCAGCTGAATAGAGGTATAACGTTTTTGCCAACTACATGTGTTTTATATGAACCCTGTCCATGTTCTTAAATGGTGAAGTAAAAAAAAAGTAAGGCAGAGGAGGGGAGAGTCTAAAGGCTAAGCATAGTGTTCTTTAGTTTTGACTTTCTTACTAGGTACAGTGATGAAAGGAGGGAAGACCTACTGCTGTTTGGGGGGCTGAGAGGACCCCTGACAGTAGAGTAAGCTTCGGTTTTCCTTTCTTCAGAGTTTCTAAGCATTGACTCCACCCCCAGCCCCCTGCAATTCTCTTCATTTACAGACACTGATTGTAATCCACCCGCTGTAGAGGAACAGTCCAATACAAAAGGGAGCAGGAGAGGGAGGGAGGGAGAAGAGGAAGACACAGACTAACAGATAAAGGGAGAGACCCACAGAAAGGGAGAGGGAGAGACAGAAATAGAGAGACAGGCAGAGAGACAGAGGCAGAGAAGGAGGAGAGACAGAGATAAGAGAAACAGACAAAGAGACGGAGAAAGATAATGACATGGGAAGGGGAAAGGAGAAAACAGAATGACAGGATATGAGACCTGGAAAGTCTCTGAGAGACCAAATTTAGCCCAATCCTCTCGTTTTATAGATCAGGGTATTGAGCGCCAGAGAGGTAAGGTGATTTGTTGACCTGTCCTAGAGTCTTGCCTCTATATCCCACTTTCTCTGATCTTGACTACTTTAGCCCACTTTAGACAGCCGTGGAAATACCCCCTTCCAACTCCCTCCGTTCTTCCTATCATCCCGGGCTATCTCTCTTTCGTTTCCTTTCCCATTTCTCTTGTAACGCGATGCTATGGCATTCCACTCAACAAAAGCCAATTTTTTTTTCTTCTGCCCATAATCTCTGCCCCTCCTCCCCTCCCCAAGATGCTTACCCTAGCCAGCCTCAAAAGAGAACTGGCGGTGAGTGTGTGGCAGAAAGAGAAATGGAGCAAGAAAAGGAGATGAGGGGACATTGTTCAAGTCCTGCCTATCCAGTTTCCCTGAATCAAAGACCACTTTGCCATCCCCCTCCGTCCCAGGCCCTCCCCCCTTTTCTCCCAAGTACTGGCCCTGGCTTCTTGGAAGCGTCTCTCTGGTTCGCAGCGCCTCCCTTTCTATACCCTGTGGTTACTCCCCAGCGGCCCAGGGCAGGGACCTTGGTAATAGCTCCTGGGGGGGGGGTATGGGGAGGAGAGGAGAGGAGAGAAGAGAGGAGAAGAAAGGAGAGGAGAGGAGAGAAGAGAAGAGGTTGCGTGGAAGTGACTTCTGGGAGAGAGTGGGAATGTGGAGGGGGTTGGAAGGAGACTGGAAGGAGGCAGTCTAGGGGTTTGCTTAGGACAACTCAGTGTTAGGCATCCAAACACTTAGAAAAAAGAGAAGTTTTCCAAAGCTCTCAGCCTCCTCCCTCCCCCACTCTCTTTTCAAAAGAGTAGCGGGTATGAATAAGCTTCACCACCCGGGAGCAGCACCGTGGCAGCTAAAGGACCGTGATTTATACATTATAGCTACAAGGGGCCCCCCAGGCTCCTCCTCCTAAGCTAGGTCTGGTTGGTGGTTTGCGTCCCCCTCCTCTCGGTCTCCCCTCCCATCAACCCAGCTCCTTTCCTGGAGAGTCCGGAGTCACTATTCAGATCCAGAGGAGCCCCAGCTGCCAGAGGAGGGGGTGAGAGATTAGATTCGTTAACCCCTCCCAGTCCCTCCCTAAACCAGCAGCAGAAGAAAACACATACACGCCAGTGTGACCACCAGTACAGTTAGTTAAACTCGCTGGATTGGGCTCTATCTCCTGATTGCACCTCCCGGGCTGTCCAGAACGCTCTTAGCTGGCTATTGGAGAGCGAGGCAAGGAGGGTGGGGACCCCTGGTAAAGGAAGTTTGGTAGCGAGGGTTGAATTTATTCTGGGGCAGCAAGATGCCAAGTACGAGCTCCTGCCGACCAGAAGCATTTAAAAACGAACTTTGTCCTGCTTGAGCGAGGTAAGAGCTCTGTGGAGCAGCTTGGACTGGGGAAAGACGGGAGGGAGCCCAGGACTTGAATGGGCTCTGGTCGCAAACTGTTGAAAGCAAACTTTGGCTTTGGATATGAAGTTTTAAAATGTGCACGCATGTATTAGTGTTATTATTAGTATGGAAAACTATGTACATGGGCGATTGTCTCACCTAGGAAGGCGAATCAGACAGGCTGACCCTGCTGAATCCCTTACCTGCAACAAGTTTTTGGAGGCATTTATAGTTGTGATTTACATGAGTTTTAAGGGCTGCCAAATCGAAATTGGACGAAAGGCTGGGAAAATCCGCGGGTGGTCAGCCGAGAGGAAGGAATAGGGGGAGAGGGTCATTGTTGAAAACCCAACAGACAACGCTTGCAGAAAAAGTGCTAAAGAGAATATAAACTTGCTCTGTACTGGGTCCCATTGCAGAATTCGTTGGGGAGGACAGTGGGGTGTCAACGAAGTGAGTGGAGAGAAATCTCTGCTAATCCAAGATAGTTACTACGTTAACTCTTACACGGTCCATTTGTTACCTAGTAATTACTGTTGCTACATTTCCTTTAGCATATTAAGAAATTTCACTTTCTAGTTTTGTGATACCTCCTTGGCCTTTTTCCTCCTCACTTTATGGTTCATTGAAAGAAGGACACCCCCCCCTTTTCTCCAAAGAGGTGGTGGCGGGAGATTGTTTATGATGTACACTGTAATCTTTTAAAACTTTCAGTTATTTGAGTTTCTTGAAAATAGTTTTGGAGTGGAACATCAGAACTTGACCTGCACTGTCATTCTAACTATAACATGATGTTTTTGAAGGAGAAAAAAAAAGCCAATCTACATGCACTCTATTTATTAGTGTTCTCAAACGTTGAGGTCAGCTGAATTCCCTTTGTTATGAATGGATTTCACAAAGTTCCTTTAAGTCTATTTGTTCTGTTTTACTACTGCTTTCAAAGGTTGCGCAAAAAAAGGGGGGGGGAGCTTCATTTTAGCTCTAAGCTTTCCTGTTTACCCGCTTAGCACACCTCACTGGAGCCTCACACTAGTGATCTTCACTGCACACCTGCTTCTAGAGGATGCTATTAATAGAGTGAAAAGAATGATTTCGTTTATGAGTTGATTTTCTTGAGAAATTCATACATAACAATTAGGTAGTAGTTTCTCCTTTTTAGGAAGGGGAGGGTACGAGGTGGCACTACTCCATTCCCCCACCCAACCCTCAGTTTCCAGACTTGAAGTTTAATCGCCTAGACTAGGGTTGAGGGAGATGGCGCGTGAAGCAGCTGGAAGTGTGGGGCGGGGAAGGGGGTTACCCCGGGAGGGACTCAGGAGAGGTCTGGAAAAATTGGAAATGCAGTGTGATCCACCAAGAGCATTCCGAGGTTTACTTTAAAAAGTCTTCCTTAAATCATTCTGTCTAGTTTTGATGGGGGTGGAGGTGGGGGGAGGGAAGAAAATGTGGATTTTTTTTTCGGTTTGGGGGAAAATTTAGGACTTTTCTTTTTGCAAAAGTTGGACATTAGATTCTTTGCAGGCTCCTCCCCCCCCCTTCTCCCCTCTTTGAACACAGACAGAGCCACAGCTGTAGCTCGGGTGAATTATGCCAACATGATGTGCCCTTTTTTTTTCTGACTCTCTCCTCTTTGTGCCTTCTTTAGGGCCGCGGTCTTCGAGGCCCCCTCAGCAGGGGAAGGGCTGCAGAAAAGACTGGCCACCGCTCACTGTACCCGCCGGGCATCGAAGCCTCGCTCGACTTTGCCCTCTAGCGTCCAGCTGGGGAGGTGACGCATTGGGCTTCTGCAGGCCTTTCTCCCAGCACCATGGGCTCCACGAGTGTGCCGTCGGTCAAGGCCATTCCCAGCTTGGTCTCTGACTATGTCAACTATGACATCATCGTCAAGCATTACAACTACACGGGAAAGCTGAACTCTAGCGCGGAGAGCGGCCTTAAAGTGACCTCGGTGTTATTCATCCTTATCTGCTGCTTCATCATCCTGGAGAACATTTTCGTCCTCCTGACCATCTGGAAAACCAAGAAATTCCACCGGCCTATGTACTATTTCATTGGAAATCTAGCCCTGTCGGACCTGCTGGCCGGGGTGGCCTACACAGCCAACCTCCTTTTCTCCGGGGCCACCACCTACAAACTCACTCCAGCGCAGTGGTTCCTGCGGGAGGGTAGCATGTTCGTGGCCCTGTCCGCCTCAGTGTTCAGCTTGCTGGCCATTGCCATCGAACGCTACATCACCATGCTAAAGATGAAGCTGCACAACGACAGCAACAGTTTCCGCTCCTTCCTGCTCATCAGCGCCTGCTGGGTCATCTCGCTGATCCTGGGGGGCCTGCCCATCATGGGCTGGAACTGCATTGGCTCCTTACACAGCTGCTCCACCGTGCTGCCCCTCTACCACAAGCACTATATCCTCTTCTGCACCACAGTTTTCACCCTGCTCCTCCTCTCCATCGTCATCTTGTACTGCCGGATCTATTCCCTGGTGAGGACTCGGAGCCGGAGGCTGACCTTCCGCAAAAACATTTCTAAGGCCAGCAGGAGCTCCGAAAAGTCGCTTGCGCTCCTCAAGACGGTCATCATCGTGCTGAGCGTTTTCATAGCCTGTTGGGCTCCGCTCTTCATCTTGCTCCTTCTGGACGTGGGCTGCAAGGTGAACACGTGTAAAATCCTCTACAAAGCGGAGTATTTCTTGGTATTGGCGGTGCTCAATTCGGCCACCAACCCCATCATTTACACGCTGACCAACAAAGAGATGCGGAGGGCTTTCGTCCGCATCATGTCTTGCTGCAAATGCCCTAGCGGGGACTCGGGGGCCAAGTTCAAGCGGCCCATCATTGGCGGCATGGAGTTCAGCCGCAGCAAATCCGACAATTCTTCCCACCCGCAGAAGGACGACGGCGACAACCCGGAGACTATCGTGTCCTCTGGGAACGTTAATTCCTCTTCCTAAAACTGAACCCTGCTGCAGGCCTACAGGGGGTGCTGTGCTGACGCCTCCCCCTCCCAATCCCACACTTTGTCGGAAAAGTTCTGTTGGGGTTCTCGGGTGCGATCCAACCCCACCCCAACGGGTGGCGCCGCAGGGCCCTAGGAAGCAAGGGAGGGAGGGAAGGAAGGAAGAGCCAGAAGAGCCAGCGTGGTGCTGGTGGGCGGTGGGGAGTTTTGGTCCACGCGAACAATGCACCGGGAAGGGTGGAGCTCTGTCCCTGAGAGACAGACTGTCCTGGCTCGGAATACATTTCCTCCCTGGAACTTGTTTTGACTTTGCACTGAGTCTGACTAAGGTCTAACATTGTCAGGCTCCTGAAGGTTTCAGTTGGCTACTTCTTGAAGTCTTGATCAATGTCCCTATGTGAAAGCGTCTGTTTGGGTCTTTGGGCTTTCCTTTGTGGGGAGTGGGAAACAAGAAAGAGAAGTTGGTTCCCTCTGCCCTAGTTTCTGTCAAGATGGATTGTATCCCCCTCCCCCGTTTCCAAGGTGACTCTCCCTCCTTCCACCTCCAATCCTGTTGTATCTCCACTGTTCCCCACTCCAAGATTTTCCATTCCCTGTATTAACTCCTTGGCTTCCACGGGAGGAGGAGGGAATGGGAGCACACTTCACCTCTGGGTCAGCTGCAGTAGTCCCCTACTCTCACCTGTGAGGAAGCTGAGACGGCTTTTAGATGTCATGTAATTTCAGCCGCTGAGTCCAAAGTTCCCGCTTTAGCCAGAGCTAAAGTAAAAATTTGATTGGAGCCAGGTTTGTTTTGTTTTGGGGTGCCATTTCTGGATAGCTTTTAATGACATGAGTTGCCTTATCCTAGCTCCTGTGGTTGAAAGCTGGAGGAAGGAGGTCCAGTTCATCTAAATATTAGTTTATTTGAGGGTGGTTATTTTGAGGCTCCAACCTTTGACCTCAGTGTCTTGGAAAGGTTAAGAAAAAAAAAACCTGACAGACATGGAAGTGTTCTCTTGAATGCTGTAATCCACCAGATATCTCTCTGACTTCTAAAAATGCCCCTAACACTTGACGTATCTGTTTTTTTGGCATTGTGTTGATGCTGTGTTGTGTTTCAGAGGGGTCCTCAGCTTTTGGACAGAGAAGTGTTGGTGTTAGATCGATTTGTGTTCAGATTTCCTATCCATGTTCTTTGAATGTATTTGTTTCTGCATCTTTTGTTTTACTGGATTTTTTTTTCTAACCTGTGTTAACAGAATTGAATGTGTGCATGTGTTAACAAGATGCAGGTCTTCCATGCCCTAGAGCATTACTGTAACAGACGGGGACACTTCAGGTAGTTCCCTCAGAACATCCTATTACTATACAGTTACTGGGGAGGTGTAGAAACATGATTTTGTAAAAAGAGTAAAATAAAGATATATCTCTGCCTCTGTAGTATGGTTTCCAGTGCAATTAAAATGAGTATTTTCTTGTTTTCTTTGTTTTTAAGATAGTATTTAAAAGATGTCTGACTTTTATGGTTCAATTTGCACATAGCTTTATCTACTTTTAAACATTAATAAACTGATTTTTAAAAAAAGATCGCATTGCCAAGAGTATTTTTTTTCCTTATGGATACATTCCATGGAGGTTTTTTTAATGTTTATGATTTTTTATATGAAAATTGTGGTAAATATTTAGTCATTACTTTTAAAAGCCTTTATATTGATAACTTGGAGCATGAAAAAAAATTGTGGTTCTTTTAGAAACCACGAGATCTTCTGCAGGAAAGGAAACTTCAATATGTTAACAGTGAAGAGCAGAAAAGAATGAGATAATTACCGACCTTGAAAATACCACAGTAGCAAAAGTCATGCATTTTAATGAATTTTAGGGGATTTGAAAAATAAGGTATGCTTTAAAAAAAAACAACTTGTCAGGAGCTGTGATTTAATTGGTATAGTAGAGAGCTCCCCAACAATGCAGATCCCCAACTATCCTGCAATTTACAATCTTAGAGAGTTGCTTTAGGACACTGTGACCTCTGATAGTAATGTTAGGTTACATTTGAACCTGGGTCTTCTTGAGCTGAGGACAATTCTTTATCCAGTAGGTCAGGGATTCTTAATCTTTTTTTTTTTCTTTTCTCATGGTCCCCTTTGGTAGTCTGGTAAAGCTTATAGACCTCTTCTCAGAATAACATTTTAAAATATATAAAATTAAATACATAGGATTACAAAGGTAACCAATTACATTGAAATACAATTGTTAAAATATTAAAAAGTTCGTGGAATCCAGGCTAAGAACCTCTGTTCTAGGTCATTCTGCCTCTCAGAAGAAAAATGTCATGGATTATAAATGAATGCTGACATTTAAGACTACTTAAGGTAAACACATCAATCCTACAGTAAAATCTGATTTTTAAAGGAATGGCACGTAAGTGAATAGCTTTAAATTCATTTGGGAAGTGCTTAGAAATATGGAGATGAGGGACCTAGAAAAGATACATTATTAAATTATAAGTACCTAGTATGAGCCCACAGCCTAAACATGATATACTTGAATTTATTACTAGCATGTTGTATGGCATTGGATGTATCAGAGAATCACATAATCTCCATTGTGTCTGTAGGATTTATTTAGTGTCTAACTCAGTTTTTCCTAGCTGCTTCTACTCAACCTACAAAACAGAAGAGCCCTGAAGATGAATGTTGGAAGATGTGTACTGCCTTTTGTATGAATATGTGCTATTAGCTTCTTAAACTGTTACATGAGAGGAGTCTGGCAAAAAATCAGATTATCCTAATGTTTTTTTTTTAATCTTGTGCAGGCCTTTGATTTCATCATAGTGGAGAGCTATCTGGGCAAACTACCTATAACCATGCAGATCGGAAATCCATTGCTAGTACATGTCAGAATCAGGACTTGAACCCAGGTCTTCTTGATTCTAAGTCCAATTCTCTATCAATTATGCTACACAGCCTCTCTATTCATTAACCCTGTGTTCACGTTTTAGTTATCTGGAATATAGTTTTAGAAAGACCAGCCATAACAGTACTTAAACTAGAGAATTTAAGTTAGCCTGTTTGGCTCTCCCATCCTTTCTATTGTTATTACTCCAAAAGGTAGTGCTTTCAAGTTCCATTGAGTGTGGACAGGACACAGTTGGGACATAAAGATAAAACTTACCTTATACAGTATATGTCATTTCTATGTAAGGTTAACTGTGGGAAACAGGAGCCTGTTCACTGAGGAAGGCCTTAGGTCACAACCTTCAGCTTCCTGAAGGAAATGCCAAAAATGCCCTGAAGACAAAAGATTGGAAACAGACTGGAATGTCTCTCCATCTGTCTGCTCTGACGGAAGGAATGATTTCATGTATACTCACTTCCTAGGGTTTTAACTGCAGTGTTGAGCATAATGGAAAAGGATGCCTGATCTGTAGCTGTGGGGAAGATAAATGTGCATTTGGACTTACCTTCAGGAGAGCAGTGACTTGCTAGGGATAGGTTGTATGGGAAAAGTTGGGCAGTGGTGATGAAATGGAGCAGATTGGTAATAGGAAGATAACCTCAGTAGCCCATCTGTGAGCACATCATCTGGTGGGCTGGGCACACTCTCAGAAATCTCACTTCCTGGAAACTCTAGACAACGTATCTCATTCCAGAAGAGCTATGTAGTTACTGAACTGTGGCATTCCTGGGCAGATCTGTGGCAAAGCACCAGATCCTGCCAAAAAACTAGAGGACAGGGTAGGAGATGCTTTGATTCCTTCCTAGTATGAATATTGGTTTTACTTCACCCTACTCTGGAGTTCAAATTTGAAAAAGAAGAGTCATGCATTTGTACCAAAAAGTGTACATTCAATTCGCTTTAAAAAGCTACCATGTTATACTTTAAAAGAAGGCAATAGAAACTAACCACAAATTGGGAACCATTATCTTACTCATTTCTTTGACATTAGGCTAAAGATGATTATATCTTTGGCTACTACAATAGCCCCTCACTGGTCTCTCTGCTTCTAGATTTTCCCCCCTCTCCAAACCATTTTCCATACAGCTGTCAAATTAATATTCCTAAACCACAGATCTGACTGTGTCATTCCTGTTCTCAGAAATCTTCAGCAGCTCCCCATTGTGTCTAGGATGACATTCAAAGTCCTTAGCTTGCATTTAAAGCCCTCCAAAATCAGATACCCACATTCCTTTAAAGAGTATTATTGATGCCTTTTGGTTTTACATTATTATCATTTCCAGACATAGCATTTCTTTCCTTTCTTCCTGCCCCCTCCCCCTCACCAGTATTGACTCCTTCATTGTAACTAAGAAAAGCAACTAAGCAAATCAAGAGATAAAGCGATAGCCTCTGATAGTGTATGTAGCATGCTGTAGCTGCGGTCCCACCTTTAACTGGCACATTTGAGGGCATGTCATTTCAGATCTCTGGGCTTCAGTATAATCATCTAGAAAACAAGGATGTTCCACTAGATGGTCAGCTCTAAGTCTGTGATCCTCTGATTCTCTCTACTGAAAGAAGAGAGATATGCTTTATTGTTCATTCTCTCAGACCAAGATTGGTCATTACAGTTATCCAAACTTCCTCTTCCTTTGGGAATAATTTTCATTCACATTAGTATAGTCGTTTGAACAAATAGCTTTCTATTGTCTCTCCTACCTTTCTGGTCTTACTTCATATGAGAAAAGGAGGAAACAAGCGTTTATTAAGTGCTTACTATGTGCCAGGAATTATGCTAAGAGTGTTACAGTGTTTCATTTGATCCTCACAACAACCCTAGGAGGTAAGTGCTGTTATCACTCCCATTTTTTCAGTTGAAGAAAATGAAGCAGAGAGCTGTTAAGTGACTTGCCTGGGGACAAACAGCTAGGATCTGAAGCCTAACTTTGAACTTGGGTTTAACCTGCCTCTTAGTCTAGTGCTCTATCCATTATGCTACCTAGCTGTCTCTAGGCAGCTATTAACCTACTTAGTGTACTAGGTTGTATTCAAACTGACCTGCTTAGTTGTGAGGTGACATTCACATTTCTGTGCCTTGGAACAGGAGCTCTCTCTTGTCTGGAATGCATTTATCTCATTTCCTTCTTATAGATTCCCTACCTTCTTTCAAAGCACAGCTCAGGGTTACCTCCAACATGAGACCTTTTCTGCTTCTCCCAATTATTAAAGCTATTTGTGTATACATCCTGTTTACATCTCCCTCCTTCTCCCCACCCTTCCCTCTCCTTCCCTACCTTCCTCTTCTCTTGTCTTTCTCTCTCTCTCTCTCTCTCTCTCTCTCTCTCTCTCTCTCTCTCTCTCTCTCTCTCTTCTCTCTCTCTCTCTCTCTCTCTTCTCTCTCGTATCCAGCCCTCCCCAGTGCCCACAGCAGATTGTAAAGCAGGGATTGTCTTGTTTTTGTTGTATTCCCAACTCCTATTACAATTCCTGACACATAGTGGGTACTTAATAAATATTTGCTTAATTGAATCAATAAAGACCAGCTAATTTAGAAATGTTTGAGGAGGCTAAACCACATAATATGTCTCTTCTACAACAGTTCTACTCTGGTGACAGAAAATTAAATGAAATCATTAATGGCAAATGTAACTTGGTCATGGTATTTATGCCTCTACAAAAGTCATCTGATGCTCATCATCGTGGGGGCATGACGCTGGATTGTACCAATCAACCAACAAACATTTCTTAAAGGCCTACTATGTGTGCCTATAATCTAAGAACCACCTGAGCCAAACTTGTAGAGGCTCATCACCAATTTGGCCAAAAGGTGAAGATATTTTCAGCTACACTGACTCACAAAAAGTGCCAAGGAGGGAAGGTGTTGATACAGAAGGGAACCATGCTGAATACCACAAATATACTTGCAGTACTATAGTATGGCTTTGAGAGCCAATTTAAGTAACAGAAAAACATTATAAAATAATCACTGAGAGACATGTTTTATTGTTGAAATTCAATCTCATATCTATTAAAGATATCATGACTTTTTTTTTTCCTGAGGCAGTTGGGGTTAAGTGACCTGCCCAGGGTCACACAGCTAGTAAGTGTCATGTGTCTGAAGCCTATTTTAACTCAGGTCCTCCTGACTCCAAGGCTGGAGCTCTATCTACTGTACCACCTAGCTGCCCCCATGACTCTTTAATGAAGAATGAACTTCATGACATAACCGGATGTTAAAATTCATAATAATAAGAATTTTAGATCTTTGATCACTTCATAGTTTAGTCCTTTTTAAAGTAATAATAATTGCACATCTATTACAGTTGCTTAATTTCACTTTACTCTCTTTCTCCCTCTCCTTCCCTTCCCCCTCTTTTTTCTTTCTCCCTCTCCCTTTTCTTCTCCATCTTCCCCCTCCTCTCCTTTTCTCTTTTCATCTCCAATAAATTTCAATCATATTATAAATATTTTGAATATTTCTTTTTTTTTCCTAATTGGATGACATTCTTCTAATCCTCCTATAGAACTTTTGGAGGCCTT